CTCGGCTACGTGATTTGTTTGCCAAATTGTGGCAAATGTGTGTGTGGCGCATTCTCTCCGTGCGAGTGAGTGTGTGTGTGTGTGTGTGTGCCGCTAATTGAGTTGTTGCTGACACACACACACACACACACGCACGCACAGACATACACAAAGATACACATTCCCCAAGCAGTCACGCCCAATGCTCCATGGCCGTCCGTTCGCCTCGTCCGCTGGCTTCCGCCTTTTGGTTTATTGAGTTTGCATGACCCTAATTTAAAGATGATTTAAAATTCCCGCAGCGAAATTAACCAAACGTCCGATCAGCTCAGCTGCTGCAATTGACTTCACCTTCACCTCTCCGCCTGGCTAACGGCTTGTTGGCTGGGACGGGTTGGTGTGATGGCACTATTGGAGGGGGGTGGGGGGTTTGTTTTGCAATTTATTGTTCGCTCGCTAATGCGGCGCATTTATCATGCAGCTGGCGCCTGGCGCCTGGCGCCTGACGCTACCCAAACGCCAAGTGTAGCGCTAATGTTCGCCACTTGGACTAACATAAATTATGTTTAATCAGCAGCAACAACAAAGAGTGCCAAACAACAAACAACAAAACACATAACAAACAGGCAGCCGTGTTGTAAGTCGCTTAATAGCCAAGCGAACAGCTTTCAGATACAAATGCATCCATCAGATACATCAGCGAGCAGCAGGCGCATTAGCTGCAGCAAAGTATCGCCAGCCAGGCTACATTGAGCAGACAAGCTGATTTTACAATTAGCAAGCCAAGAGCGGGTGGAAATGACTAGGAAATACCCTGTAAGTGGAGGAGTGACATGTGTATATTGAGAGAGGAGAGAGTGACGACTCCGAAGGGGAGAAGGAGACATAGAGAGAGAGACTGGTTGGGGGAAAGAGGGAATGAGTGTGTGTGAGAGAGAGAGAGACAGAGAAAGTGTGGGAGAGAAAGAGAGAGAAACAGAGAAAGTGTGTGTGTGAGACAGAGAAAGTGAGAGAGAGAGAGAGAGACAGAGAAAGTGAGAGAGAGAGAGAGAGACAGAGAAACATAGAAAGTGAGAGAGAGAGACAGAGAAAGTGAGAGAGAATGAGAGTGAGAGAAAGAAACATAGAAAGTGTGAGAGAGAGAGAGAGAAACATAGAAAGTGAGGGAGAGAGAGAGAAAGAGAGAGAAACATAGAAAGTGAGAGAGAGACAGAGAGAAAAAACATAGAAAGTGAGAGAGAGAGAGAGAGAGAGAGAAAAACATAGAAAGTGAGAGAGAGAGAGAGAGAACATAGAAAGTGAGAGAGAGAGAGAGAGAGAGAGAGAGAAAGTGAGTGCTTTGTAGTATGTTTTTCATTTTCATTCTCATTCGCTTGAGGTTTGTGATAAAGAGAGAAGAACTCGCCTCGCCACGAATATACTCCATCTTTATAGCATTTTAACAGGGCATATAGTAGCAGAACTCAAATCAAAAAACATTTATTGCCATGAATATACCCGCTTCACACTTTGTACCGAGTATATTTCCTCGTAAGACCTGCTGCAACAGCTTGAAATCTGTTTATAATAAGCTCCAAAGTTGCTGCCGCTGCTGCTAACAAAAAAGCACTTAAGATCCCCCGCCCACCCCGAACAGCTAAATTACCCAATTGGCCACGCCCATTCAAGCCCCTTGCAGAGGAGCGAAAATGTCAGCGATAGCCCTTTTTGGCAGCTACTCCATATTCATGTTGAACAGGATTAGCAGGGAGAGCAGCGTGATTTGTCCGGCGGCTTATCGATCTGTGACTAGTACCCAAGAAGGAGTAGAAGAAGAAGAAGCAGAAGAGCTGCAGCTGAGTGTGTGGCTGAAGATAAAGTGGCAAAAAGAGCAACAGTAGCAGCAGCAGAAGGAGCAGCAGCAGCAGCAGAAGGAGCAGCAGCAGGAGCAGAAGCAGCCGCAGCAGCAGCAGGAGCAGGAGCAGCTAACGCATCATGTCAATCAAGCGCAGAGTGAAACACTTTAGTCGCTAGCCAAATAGGAGCGACGATTACGATGGGCGACGTTTAAGGTGGCGAGTGGAAGGAGGAGGAGAGAGGGCGGAGAGGGCAGAGAGGGCAGCCAGTACATTATACTAAGCAGGCAACGAAATGGCCAGCTAAGTGCCGGAGCAGCCGCCCGTTATACGCAGCGACTGAGCTGAGGGGCCGAAGCCCCAAACAGAAACAGCCTGAGCTGAATTACGTGCGTGAGTGTGGGCGTGGCAGCTAGTATTGTTGCTCAAGCAAAGTGCTTACACTCCTATCTCCCTCTCGCCCTCGATTCTCGCTCTCTCTCTCCCTCTCTGTCTCTTGCTCTGTCTACCGCCAGCATTTCAAGGTCCGCCACAAAGTATGCAACATTTTTGGCCGGAATGCTGAATATCAGCGTAAGCCCAAGACGTTCCACAACTCCCGAGCATAATGGGGCCTAGCCAGAGAGAGTAGCTCCCGGGCATAAGAAGGCACATCCATAGAGCAGCTCGTAGTCGCTGAAGCATAGAGAATACCAGGAAATTCGTTTTTGTTAAACTTTGAATTTATATCATAAACGAGCATTTTGTTCGATTCTCAGTATTGAATGAATTCAATTTCCATTTACAGCACGTGGATTCACAAATCATAGAATGTGGACAAAGCAACAGAGAAAGAGAAAGAGTGCGTGGGGAGGAGATGAAGAGAATGAAGAATACACAGAAAGTTCTTTTTTTAACTTAAATAGCTCTTGCTTAACGCTGAGCTTTTTGATTATGCTGCAAAGCACATTTTGTTGCATCTAAAGCTTTCAAGAGCTTTTAAGCGAACTTTAAAGATCTAATCTACCATTTATAAATATGATGGCAATTCCATATACATATTAATCAGCTTTCGAAGATTTGCATATATATAGCATATACTCACCAAAAGCCTTATTTGAATTTAATTGCCACATTGTTTAATCTTCAAGCTCTAAAACTTTTGTATGGATTGCATTGCACTAAAACTTTTTAAAATAATTTTTTTCATATTTTGTGTCTAAAAAGATAAATAACAATGAGCTTTAAAGCTAACTCTGCTTGATTAAAGCTCATCTCGTATAATTTTATTAAGCAGCTTTATCTGTATCTATAAATTAACTGCATATCTTTAAAGTTTGCTTATAATTATCATTCAAAGCATCGCTAAAACTTTAATTATTTATAAATCAGTTCAATAATAAAATTTTGAGCTTGCAGGGGTCAACTTGGCCTGCACTAAACCGCAATAATGAGATGGCTTGTAAGCTATAAGCCAAAGCTCATTAGCTATAATACACTAAATCTTTATCATGGCTCATTAAAGCTTAAACGGGCTTCAATTCAAGCTAAATTAAATCTCATATCTATAATCGAACTTGAGCTGCTGGACACGGCAGTGGCCCCCAATGCAGCCCCATCCCCTTCAATTCCATTTCATGCATATTACATATTGCTCAGCTGGTTTCGTTCGCATTGCGCTCTCCTACTCTCAACACGCGGGTATCTGCTGGAGCACAATCAGTTTGTCTCTCAGTTGTCCCCTTAGGGTCGATTTCATGGCGCAATTTATGAAACCCGCTTGGCCTTTTGCCGCGATGCCGCATTTCCTTCTTTTCTAGTTCTCTTTTCATTTTTTTTTCTAGTTTATTTTTTACTTTTTATTTTAGTCTTTTTGTTTTCAATTTCTGTCTCTAGCTGTTTCCCCCCCTCTCTCTCTCTCTCTCTCTCTATTTGTATACCCTCAACACAAACTGAAAGTCAGGGTATGTTGATTTTCTTCACAGTGTATGAAACATACAAAAGAAGGCGTGGCAAATTGATCTGAACGAACCGTTCGTTTGTGGGCTTGTCTGTGCTCGAGATCTAGACTCGCCTCCCATTGAACTTGGCCTAGGGTTACGTCAGCAGCTAGTCGAGCAATTCGGTCTGAAGTATTTCTAGTTGAGTTAAAGAAGAAGCAGAGACTTCTAATAGTGCTTATCTTATTTATTTGTGTATCTATAATATAAGAGTGCTTCAAACTATTGGCCATAAATAATCGATATCTGCTCCTGCCAGTATCGATCAAAATCGATATGCAGCTTATTCGTGCAAGCCTACGCATGTATATGGCTTCTATATGTATTTACATCGCTTTGTCTTATCTCTTATGGCACATACAACTTCTTCTATACCCTGTACTTCAATGTAGCGTATCTGCTAGCCATACACATACCCACTCTTCGCTTCTGTTTTTGTCGTTTCGGGCTTTGGCTGGCGTTATCTTTTGCGTAGATTCCCTGGCAGGCCAAACAGAAATATGAATTTATACCATCTTTTTTTTAAGTTTGCTTTTAATGTTATTGTTGTTGTTGCTGTTGTTGCTGTTTGCACTCGCAAATTCCTGGAACACGACGTAATTTATAGCTGGGAGTTTTGTGCCAAGGCCTTGCACAAAAGGAACACACGAAGCAGAGAAATGGAGATAGATAGAAAGAGAGAGGGAGACAGAGTGAGAGAGAGAGAGAGAGAGAAGGAGAGCGAGAGAGAAAGGCAGGGCTAGAGGCTACGCAAATTTGGGTTGACAGCTAAGGAGCAATGGTTAGATGCGGCACAAAAGGAGCGCAGCTAACTTCAGCAAGACGCTTTTAATTACAGCTGATTTATTTATTGCGCATACGCTCCGCATGCAGGTGCAACAGCTGGCGTACAGGTGCCAAAGGCGTTGGCTAATTTACAATGGACAAAGTCACAATAAATTGTCATTAAAATTGCCAGCCAGTAGAGCACCAAGAGAACAGCAGGCAGCTGGTTAGCAAGTCGTCGCTCAAAGTGTAATTAAACAGTAATTACTGGGAAACCGCAGCGTCTGAGTAAGCAACCATTGGCGATGCAAGCGACAGCGCCGCACTAAACTATATATACAAAAAATAATAGGAGTGCAACTACGGAAATATTGAGAAACAGCTGCATGTGAATCAGCGCTCTCTGTGGGCTCTGCCACAATGAAAATTATGCAAGCTTGGAGCCAGTGCTGTGAATAACATTGGGCCGGCAGCATGAGCGCACGTCCGTCCAGCAGCGATGTAGCCGAACAGTGCTGTCGCAATGTGCTCATCGAACTGATCAGCACAGAGCAGCAATATGTCGAGGATCTGATCAATGGCATTGAGCGCTATAGTCGCATCTTTCAGCAGCGGTCGGCGTTGCCGTCGGGTCTGGTTGGACAACAGCACGTTCTGCTGTCGAATATTACAGAGATTGCGGCACTGCATCGGCATCGCCTTCTGCCGCTGCTGCTGCAGCATCGCCAGCAGCTGGAGCTGCTCTTTGAGCGCTGGTACGCTCTCGTCGAGCGGGATGTCTTCTACTGCTATGTCCTGTTCACGGCTAGCCAACGGGAAAGCATGCGTCTATATCATTCCCATGAGCTTTATTTTAGGGTAAGTTCAAATAGAACAAAAGTGCGTCTCTCCATTAATTATCGTACATCCAATTGGTTGATCTGCGAACTGAGCAATGAGCGTATCAAACGTGATGCACACGGATGCACAACGAGCGTAGAAGAGATAGCAACATAATTGCTGATCAATTCACATTTAAATGGCTGCTTGTTGCTCTCTTGCTTTCGCTTATTTAACACATAAAGGAGAGAGGAGCACAGAGTGAGGACGAAAATATCATGGCTGTCACGAATCCCAGCGAATGTGCGCATAAGCGAGAGCGCAATAGTGGCAAGTGTCCAGCAAAAGATTCTCTTCAACATAAGTGCGTGAGCGAGATAGCACTATAATGGTTGATCTACGCGAATTAAGATGGCTGCGCTTACCGCGATGCATAAAGGAGCGAGCAGCATAGAGCATGAGCAATACAGCGACTATTTAATACGTGGCGAATTTGAATACGCGTAAGCGAGACAGCGTTGACGAAACATTTAGTTGTTGTATCCTTCTCGTTCGCTCTTATTTATTATTGATTGATTCAGCGTCAAATTACAGAGTTTCGTAACAATGGCGTCATCAGGCATCATCGCCGTAATAACTGCATGCTATTTCTGGCCTATGAAAAAGCAAAGCACAATCAGCCGGCGAATGTAATTGGTGCTTTGCAGCAAAATAACGTTTTAATGACCGATGATTTAAAATGGTTGCAGTTGAATTAAATCTCGTTGCAAAATGTCGTTGACAATTGTTAAATTTGAAAATTAAGCTCAGTTAAATTCTTGTTTATCAACAGCGTATGCAACTGACAATGGGAGATCCGCTGGGCTTACGCAGCTTTCTACTGAAGCCCGTGCAGCGTGTGACGAAATATCCATTGTTACTCAATAGATTCATTCAGGCATTCTTCGAGCATCGCCAGGTGATATCGAAGCGCATCTTCGAGCTGGCCTGTCGTCTAGAGACGCGACTGCGCGAGCTCTTGGAGCGTGCCAATCAAGCAGACCAGCTCAATGACATCACGAACTTCAATGCGGTATGTTCAAAGTGTTCAAAGTGTTCAAAACATGTTCATCTTGAATGTCTTCAAACACCTCTTCCAGTCTTGCATACTCAACGAGGCGCGCTTCGTGACGTTAGGCGAGTTCCAGCTGATCGATGGCCGATTGCGCCGCTGTTACAGCTGCAAATTGTTTGCATTCACCACCTGCTTCATCTACACGGAGCAAAAGAGCTGCAAACAGGTGGTGCGCGGCACTTTCGCTCTGCCGGATGTTTGCGTTGTGGCCAAGGCGAAGTCCTTTCTGCTGTGCAACAAGCAGCACGAATGTGAGTTCCTCTGCCCGAAGGTATTGGTTAAAAAATGGGAGTCGATGGTGCGTCAGCTGCTTGAACAGTTTTTGAGCGTGGCATTTGGCGATGTTGTCGCGAAAGCGGAGCAAGGCACGGACAACGCCAGCGGGCAGCAGCAAGTGGTGCAACGCAGCTCCATCAACCGCACCATCTGGTACGCGATGCAGTAACCCAGCCACACAGAAGCAACATATTCCTACCCGGCTTCCCTCCCCACGATGGTAATATGTGTTTCTGAACTGAATCAAAACGAACGGCTGCTACGCGGCTCAAAAACCAAACACACAAACGAAGTTTTAATAAAACGTTATCAGAATTGTTGGCATAAATCACAGAGCGATGCACATAACAGTCTTCCGCTCTGTGCTCTGGGCAAAGGGTTCAAAAAGCAATGAAAATATAAGCGAGCGACAGGTGAAACGGAGCACAAAAAAAAAAAAAAAAAAAACCAGACCTAGAGTTTTTGAGGAAAGTCGAGCTTCGAATACGCTGCGATAGATTGAAGCGCTAAAGTGACACTTGATTTCTCCTCTAGCGGGAAATTTCGAGGATTCTATAAGCGTACCTAAGCTACTGCTAGCTGATATATACAGAAGAAATATTCCTTAAAAATTATAACGTGACAAATGAGTACTTAAAGCTATCAATAGTTGTTAAAGGCCAGACCCAAACTGGCTATAATTGAAAATAATGCTAATTTAGACTCTGAGTACCAAATGCACAGAAGTAGTAAACGCCAACTATGGCTTAACCAAATATTGATGACAATCGATGCATAATCGATATATATCGACATTTACCAATTACGCTATTCAACTAGCAAAACAAAGCTAAATCAATTTTGCTGAGACCTGGCTCAAGCATTTATCATAAGCTGGCGGTAAACCATAAGCCGACTGCAATATACCCTGTTTTCTTCCAGTGGAGCGTTGCTTGTAATTTTTTTCTTTTCTTTCTTTTTTTGTGTGTTTTGGCAACTTCTTGAACTTTGCACAAAGTGTTACAGATAGTTGCCATTGCACTGGCTGGCAAATTATATTATATGCTGAGTTTTCGAAGAGTCATTTGAGTTGAGTTGGAAAACCGCAGATGGCACAAACTTTTATTAAGTTCTCCGTTGCGATTGTAGTGCGTGATTGTTGTTTGTGGTTTTTCGTTTGTGGTTGTTGTGGCTGTGATGCTTATTGTTGTTGTTGTTGTTGTTGTGCGCAAAATCCATATAATTGAAGCCCTGGAGCTATGACAAACGCACAATGACGCACATTTAATAGTCATGTCTGTGTCTGTGTGTGTGGGTGTGTGTATGTGTGTGTGTGCTCATGTCATTTTAGTCGATGAATTGATTTATGTGCTTGTTTGTCAGCTGACCTGCAACTTGTGCATAAATTTCAAATTTCACATTGCTCATACGCCGCGTGCTGCACACCACTAATACACATGTCCGAAAAGTTTCCAGCAAAACAGCAACAGCAACAGCAACAGCAACAACAACAACAAGTGCATAATACAATGTGTGCGCGCGCGTGTGTGTGTGTGTGTGTGTATTTGGCATAAAGGAAAAGTGGGCGTGTCTGGGCGCAAGGTGCCGGTTGACATTGCCCTGCAGATTGTTTCGACAAGTTTTCATGTCGCCTGCCATCAAAAACTTTGCCCGGCATCTTCATAAATATTTTGAGTTGTTGTCTAACGATACGCGGCAAGGCGATGCAGCAACAACAACTAGACAAAGTCATGGATGTGGCAGCAGCTGTAAGAGAAGAACAAGAAGTAGACGAAGAAACTGGCGACGAAGTAGAAGGCGTATGTGAAGAAGAAGAACAAGCATAGAACAAAGAACAAGTATGTTCAACTATTTTAAGCGCGCTTAAAAGCCTTGAAACAAAATATATTTTGCTTAGTATTTAGTTCCTGCCAAAAGCAGAGCAAGCCTAAGATCTAGTTGAGAGTGAGTGATGGGCGTGAAGATGCCCTGTATTTGTATAATATATTTATATTTGTGTGTACAGAAATAGGCAAACTGTGTTTCACTTGAGTAACAAACTTTTAGAACTATCTCAACTTCTTTTAATTTATCTTAAACTTAAGCCACTGCTGAGATCGATATTTATCGATGATTATGATGAGCGCGCTCTGGCTGGTTAGTTACCTTTCTTAACCTCTGTGCTTCTTCGTTCAGATACCTCTCGTATGTTTATATATGTGGCCAACGTTGGCATGGCTACAGGGTATACAAATAACTTACAACTTGTGCTTTTTGGGGATTTCCTGTTGGAGAACAGTTTTGGCAACTTTGTCTTAAGTCAGTTCCGACACAGCTGAGCTACAAAAAATGCTTGAGATTTGTAAAAACCTACAACAACAAACATAAAAACAAAGTTGATAAAATTCGATACAGATACAGATACAGATACAGATACAGATACAGATACAGATACAGATACAGATACAGATACAGATACAGATATAGATACAGATACAGATACAGATACAGATACAGATACAGATACAGATACAGATACAGATACAGATACAGATACAGATACAGATACAGATACAGATACAGATACAGATACAGATACAGATACAGATACAGATACAGATACAGATACAGATACAGATACAGATACAGATACAGATACAGATACAGATACAGATACAGATACAGATACAGATACAGATACAGATACAGATACAGATACAGATACAGATACAGATACAGATACAGATACAGATACAGATACAGATACAGATATAGATATAGATATAGATATAGATATAGATATAGATATAGATATAGATATAGATACAGATACAGATACAGATACAGATACAGATACAGATACAGATACAGATACAGATACAGATACAGATACAGATACAGATACAGATACAGATACAGATACAGATACAGATACAGATACAGATACAGATACAGATACAGATACAGATACAGATACAGATACAGATACAGATACAGATACAGATACAGATACAGATACAGATACAGATATAGATATAGATACAGATACAGATACAGATACAGATACAGATACAGATACAGATACAGATACAGATACAGATACAGATACAGATACAGATACAGATACAGATACAGATACAGATACAGATACAGATACAGATACAGATACAGATACAGATACAGATACAGATACAGATACAGATACAGATACAGATACAGATACAGATACAGATACAGATACAGATACAGATACAGATACAGATACAGATACAGATACAGATACAGATACAGATACAGATACAGATACAGATACAGATACAGATACAGATACAGATACAGATACAGATATAGATATAGATATAGATATAGATATAGATATAGATACAGATACAGATACAGATACAGATACAGATACAGATACAGATACAGATACAGAGATACAGATACAGATACAGATACAGATACAGATACAGATACAGATACAGATACAGATACAGATACAGATACAGATACAGATACAGATACAGATACAGATACAGATACAGATACAGATACAGATACAGATACAGATATAGATATAGATATAGATACAGATACAGATACAGATACAGATACAGATACAGATACAGATACAGATACAGATACAGATACAGATACAGATACAGATACAGATACAGATACAGATACAGATACAGATACAGATACAGATACAGATACAGATACAGATACAGATACAGATACAGATACAGATACAGATACAGATACAGATACAGATACAGATACAGATACAGATACAGATACAGATACAGATACAGATACAGATACAGATACAGATACAGATACAGATACAGATACAGATACAGATACAGATACAGATACAGATACAGATACAGATACAGATACAGATACAGATACAGATACAGATACAGATACAGATACAGATACAGATACAGATACAGATACAGATACAGATACAGATACAGATACAGATACAGATACAGATACAGATACAGATACAGATACAGATACAGATACAGATACAGATACAGATACAGATACAGATACAGATACAGATACAGATACAGATACAGATACAGATACAGATACAGATACAGATACAGATACAGATACAGATACAGATACAGATACAGATACAGATACAGATACAGATACAGATACAGATACAGATACAGATACAGATACAGATACAGATACAGATACAGATACAGATACAGATACAGATACAGATACAGATACAGATACAGATACAGATACAGATACAGATACAGATACAGATACAGATACAGATACAGATACAGATACAGATACAGATACAGATACAGATAGATACAGATACAGATACAGATACAGATACAGATACAGATACAGATACAGATACAGATACAGATACAGATACAGATACAGATACAGATACAGATACAGATACAGATACAGATACAGATACAGATACAGATACAGATACAGATACAGATACAGATACAGATACAGATACAGATACAGATACAGATACAGATACAGATACAGATACAGATACAGATACAGATACAGATACAGATACAGATACAGATACAGATACAGATACGGATACAGATACAGCTGGAGGTCATGCATTGCCATCAATAGCACAGCTATGCAAATCGAAGCTTCAACTGGTTTGCTTTGAGCCATTGTTCTATTCACCCATTGAATGCCATTTGACACAATGGAGTCGCGCAAGACAACCTGAGGCAAGTGCTCGAAAACGAGCGCGATTCAAGCAATCACGTCGCAAACTGTGAGTTTCACGTGACCACGGTGGATAATACGGGTGTTAATAATCGCCGGAGCGACTCAGTGACAGACTGTCTCTACTGCGGGCAGTCCTGCTGCGCGAATCTCCGCCAAAGGGCTGGCTGAAAGAGCTGAACACGAAAATAAAACGCAGAAAATAATACAAAATACAACAAAAATAAAACAATTCAAGAAAAAAGAGAGAAAAAAAAAAAAAAAAAAAAAAAAAAAAAAAAAAAATGAATCCTGCTGGCAACCGGAAAACAAGCTGAAGGAAAACGCCAGCAAATGAAAATCGCACAACGATTTTCCATTTCCATATACATTTCGTTGCCGTCCCGCTGGGTACAAACGGCTGTTGTTGTTGTTATTGTTGTTGTTGTTGCGACAAACAGCAGGAGGTCCAAGTACAAGGCCCTCTCCCCTCTCCCTACTCCCCTCACCCATCCCCACCGACCGCATGGACCACCCATTGGTCACATGCACGCAATAACAGCGAAACTTGGCGCTTCACTCAAAATAATGATGACTTTTTACCGTTGGTCAAAGCGAGGACTCGAG